TTGAAGAAAACCTGAGGTTTTTGGAAGGAGAATTATAGAACGAGCATTGTTTTATCTACTGGGAAAATAGGTCATTTTTTCTTGTTAATGTTCCCCCCGAACAAGCAATGAAATAGCAGCCTTTGAGTGACGCTTAAGCGCACTGAATGGGCTTCACGTTATTTTCTGCTCCTATCCGTAGTGAAACTTTCTGAAACGCAGCTCTCCAGGAGATGCACTGTGACAGATGAGGTTCAGGTTATGCCTATGGAGCAAAATGAAGTTGTGACTGTATTGGGTCATAGAAGAATGTATTTCTGTATTTCACTGTAGAAGTTATAACATGGCAGGATGCATTTCAGCACAGGCTCTACAACCCCCTGTGGTTTTCCAAAGGCTAGTCCATGCTGAAATCCATGTTGCCATGTCCTAATTGCTATCGTGAAGTCACCCTTACCAGCAGGATTTAAAGCTATCATGGGGTGCCCACCTCTGCTATAGTCGCATCTTCATTTAGCTGCATGCGGTACTCACCAGGAGCCACCCACCGGTAACAATGACAATAATAGAAGAAAGAGATGCATGAAAGCTACACAATATAGCATCTTAAAGCTGAAATTTTCAACATTTTCCAAACACGAGCCAACATTTTGCAAACATGGCTGGATCCAAAATTTAAGCATTTAATTGGACTGACTTCCACAAGTGGAAGGCTCCCCTTTGCCCCAGTGATTGATTCTTGTTGAAGACGATCAATGCAGGAAAAAACAGGGTGAGAGGGGATGATATGTGTGATGTCTCTTTAAAGCTGCACCAGTTAGGCAGAAAGGTGGCTAGGAAAGGTTTTAGGCAGAAGCTCCACCTTGACGCAGATAGAGCCCTAAGCCCTTTAGAGCGAGTGGCTTTTCGAATAAAATTTGGTGTTCGGTGCTGGAAAAAAACCTCTCCAATTCTGCGCCCTTGTCACATGACAGCACCAGCTTGTGCTTTCGTTTTCTCCCGTAGAAGAGTCAGCGATGATGAGTGCCAATAAAGACTGAGCCCAGATGTTGAGAAGTCCAACCTTTTTTAGTTCGCTTCAGGAACACACCGCGAAGCTACATCATACGCATCACGGAAACAGCGAAGACAATGCTCATCAAAATGGTAGTGACATTACAACGCAACGATCAGCGTAGGCAGCACTGCCCTTGGCAGGTGGCGCTGTATCTTATCTTGACTTTGTGCCAACCTGTGTTACAATCACACCTTCATTTGACTGGGTAGATATACTCACCATGGGCTACCTGCTAGGAAATTGGATAATGCTGCTGCTTCAAGCAGAGCAATATGAACTTAGATAAAACGGTTGGGAGTAAAGCCCATCCGACCTCTTCAGCTGAGTTCTGAGCGGGGTTGTGGTCCGGGTGTTTTGTGTTTCCAGCAAAAATAGGGAAGGCAAGAAGTGATATCCTTGATATTTCTAATTTCCAGCTACAAACACAGCTAAAAACAAAGCAAAAAAAAAAAATCTGGGCGTTCTTCATACACTGCAAAGAAGCTAAAAAAAAAAGGGGGGCGGGGGTCATGAGAGGACTTCTTGATTTCCTTTTTCATATTATCTTTAACCTCTCTGACACCGTTTCCTAAAGGGGACCTGATAGTAATCTGTTTCACTGTGCTGTTGTGAGGATTAATCAGTGCATGTTTTTACAGCACTCATGAGATGGAGAGTGCTGGATAAATATTAAACCTTTTAATTATCCTCTCCTTCGTTCACCCATTGTAGGTCAGATGGATGCGGTAATTAACTCTCTGCAACCTGCCGTGGATGAGAGAGCTAATGCAAGTGAAATGTGTGCATTATTTCAAACTGCTGATACGTCCTACCCTATTCTGTTTCTAGCAAAACAACTGCCTAGGTTTTGCTAAATAAAATGTGGTGGGTTTTTTTTCTCCATTTCAGCCAGTTTTATCTGCAGCAAATGAGCTGCAAATAACAGAAATATTTACTTTAGTTCTGCTTTATATTTCTCTGCAAAGCATGCTTTGAAAAAATATATATATCTACATTGAAGCAAACACAGGAATGAGATGAGCAGCACACCACTGATGAGGTTTCTGGATTTCCAGGATGTAAAATCTGGATGTCAAGCTACTGGGCTTACTAGCAAAAATTGATTTCTATTGAGAAAAGAGCCTTCTGCAAATGCAGTCTGTCTCTTCTGATCTCTGGCTACTTTTGAAATAAACACTAACCGAGGGGGATGCGTCTCTGTCTTGTGGCTGTTTGAAGGGTCTCATGTCAGAACAGGCAGTCTGTACACTGACAGAACTAGAAACTTCGTCTTGAGCGTGGGATGGCTATAATTAACAGCCTGAAAAAACTAGCAGGTCTGGGATCAGTGGCTGAAAGCCGACACCAACAACCGGCAGCGTTACGATTCTGCCCTGGAAAAAGTGTTTCACACTCCCTCTGTAAAGGTGTAAATGAAAGCACCGGAGCAGCAATTTCGTATATCCACAGATGTGCATGACCAATTGTGGAAGGCATTATTGCAACATTTCCCTCCTTCTACTGTCTGAAAGAGGAAGAGGACAATGAAAATCATCAGCATGTAGATGCATGGGCGACTGGTGCCTCCCAAGTCTGGCGGGGCATCAGATCGCCAACGGGGGGGTATCCCCCAGCAGCCAATTGCCGACCTGGGGGGGAGTCCCACAGTGGCCAATCGCCAAGCCAGCGGCGAAACTGGAAGTGCACTTCTGGTTTTGCAGCTGGCGCTTCCAGGGGGTGCATGGCCGATGTCAAGGGATGCATGTGCACCTGCGTGCATCCCCTACGCGTCGCCAATGTATAGATGTCCTCTTCTTCCATCCAATCAGTGTTGCTGATTAGGAAAGAAGATTTAAATTTAAAAAAAAACCTTGAGAAAAACTTCCTAACGGTTGTTGGCCAAGCTCCGCAACACAAAGCTCCGTGGTTTTTTGTTTTTTCCCTCCAGTTGTCTATCGGATTTCAAAGTTATTTCAGATAAGTTAATGAAGCTGCAAATACGACTGGTACTAGAGAACACTGCTTTTCATAGGGATGCCAGAGAAAGATGCAGTCTTTTATCAGCAAAAGTATTGAGGAAATTGTCACAACCCAAGGGTGTGATTTTGTTTTGTGAGTGCTTCGGCACTGCTAAATTGTTCCCGCTAAAATTGCAGCTTCTTTGCACGGTGGAGTTTTCTGCTGCAGAGGAAAACCCCGGTGCAAAAGAATTCCTGCCACCAGTAGCTTTCTTTGCAGGGTGCATTTCTTTGTTGCAGCACAGAAGTGCACGTTGCAAGGAGTTCCCGCCATTCGTATTCAAATTTGTGCCCCACCATTGGCTAGTTCTAAATTATTCCCACGTGGTGACTAGCGACAAACTTCGTGTGAGTCTATTCAGAGCTCTTTTCTTCGAGTACTTTCTTCGGTTGGCGCGACGGGCTCGCGGTTTAGAGCCTCCAGCCGGATGGGCTAGAAGAATGTTCACGGGAAGGAACTCTAGTCCGCCTCTCTCCTTTTCTATCTGTAACTGCAACTCAAGCAAGTTTTCCTGTCTGCACCGCGACCATCTTCGGTGTAAGTAAATAATCTTAAATCAACCATTACGCGTCCGTGCCTAATTCTAGCGTGTCGCCTGTTTTCTCCGACCCAGCGTGCCCGGGCTGCTGGCCACAGCCCGCGCGGAGCGAAAAAGGGCCCGGATTGCTCCCGGCCCGCACAGAAATATCTGAGGTCAGTAAGGCAAGAGAATAATTTGCCAACAGAGATCTGAGACAGCAGCACTACACATTTTGGGAGATCAGCGTATTGTTTATAAATAGGTTTTTGGTTGTAGCTGTGTTAGTCTAAGGACACAGACAGGCAACTTTCTTTGAGCAGATGTGATATCTTTTATTAAACCAACTGAGTAGTTGGAAAAAAGTTCTTGGCCAGCTTTCGGGTCCAGTCACTCTTCTTCAGGCGTAGGGAGTCTCTGCTGGTCTGAGACTACGAGGAATTCTTCGATCCCTTGAATTCTAGGATTCCTCGGAGTCTCAGACCAGCAGAGACTCCCTACACCTGACAAAGGGTGATTGCACCCAAATGCTTGCCAAGAACTTTTTTCCAAATACTCAGTTTGTCTAATAAAAGATATCACATCTACCCAGAACACCTTGCATGCCTTATTTAGGAATTTGGATTCGTGGCTTCTATTTTCACCCTTTTGTGGTATTTATTAATGGCTGGTTAATGCTTTATTATTTTTCTAGGAAAAAAATACTTTGCATAAGCTTATCTGTATAAACTTGAGTTAGGAGTAATTTCTCCCATTAACACATGCATTTAAAAATACTCAAGAGTCATATTAAAGTCTCGTTCCGGCTTTTCATCCTGCATACACCCTGCCTGGGACAAGCCGTGGCCCACACTGCTATTAAATGAAGTGAGAAGCAGCCCATATCTGGGGTGATACAGACTGGGATTTGCCATCCATAGCACAGTGCCTTCCCCTGCACAAAGGGGTCCACAGCTGCCCTGGGAGAGGCGGGATCCGCGTCCAGTTCGTGCTAGCGACAGGAAATCCAGATCCAGGCTTCTTCTCACTTCCCAGGGCAGCAGTAGGGGAAGTGTTTTTTTTCTAACGATGTCTTCTCACCCCTCTTTCCCAGTATGTGGGATTGGTTGGTGAACTAAGGGGAGCAATAAGTGCTCTACGCATTCCTACCAAGGCAGGATCCTACTCCATCTATTAGACACACAAATGGACTTCAGTGCCTAAGTGTAATCCTATTCTACCCAGCTCAAGTCCCTGCAAAACTGTTAATACAAAAGATGGATATGTCCTGCTCATTGCTGCTTTTTTTTTACTTAGTTTTAAGGCTAAAATGACAACATGTGAGAGAAATGCAGGCATTAATGGATTTTCAGGTATGGGACAGGGTGAACATAATCACATTTAGGAGCCTCAGTTCATTTAGGTCCATAATGGGTAAAGTAGAATCTGGCCAAATATGTCCAACCCTTTTATGGACTAGTGGAGTCAAAGAAGTGTCCATCAGATGAATATAGCTGAGCAGTCCCCTGCCCTTCCTTCTAGCCTCTGCACCGCTCTCCTCTGCACTCCACTGGCAGCAGCCAGTCTCTCCAGTTTACACCATCTTCAGCATAGTGTGCCATTTAATTATTGCTTCTTCCTTCTGAAGAGCTGGCCCGTGCTCTGCTGTGCAAGGGAAAAAGCAGTGTGCACCGACATTTAATTCTTTGACTTCTGTAAAAGTGAGCCCAATGCTTGCTCGCTGCCACGCTCAGCACAACTGGTTATTATCAGACCTGGAAAGACAATTCCCATTGGAAAAAAACTGATTCAACAAAATAAACATGTTTCTTAAGAACATATCAATTCTTTCAACATTTTTATGGCTTGCTGAAATGTTTCATTTTGATAAGGCTGAGGCCCTTCCTTTCAACATTATTTGAAGTAGCAGAATATACTATATACCATGTGTAATATTTGAAACGATTCAGTTTGCATAAAATGTAATTGAAACAATGAATCTGAAATGAAGCATTGGGGTGTTGTCAAAATGAAACATTATAATAAAGTTGTTTCAGTGTTTCCAAAATGATGTTTTTCCCCCGAATTTTCATTCTGTGAGAAACGTTGGCATTTATATGTTTTGTTCTGATCTGGGGCAAAAGGAGATGGGCAACGCTGGGGATGGAAATTCTACTTTGTGATATTGTGAGTCTTATGGGGAGACTCTGACTTCGTAGATCCTTTCAGTGTCTTTCTCCTTTTGGATGTAACAGTTTTCCAAAGTGGTGGTTGTCTGTGGGGAGGTATCGTGTTGTGCTTCTTATCCTTCATTTACTGAACTTTTCTTTTATTAGCATTCTTAATGACACACAGATACACCAAAAAGGAACGTGCTCAGTGCCTGGTTTTGTGTGCGTGTGTGTGTTTTGTTTTGTTGGGGGGGGGGGGGGGGGGGGTTTTTTTGTTTTGGGGTGTGGTGTGGTTTTTTTTTTGTTGGGGGGGGGGGGGGTGTTGATTTTTTTTTCCCTTAACACTGATAAAGAATGAGGTCTTTATTATCCTGTTACACAGTGTGCAGCCATTTCCACACCGCAAAGGCGGTGTAGATCTCCATCTGTTTGCTTTGATAATGTTTTACATTCATGCTGGAGAAGTGTGACTGACTATACAGTATAAGGCATTATGGAATCAGGTCACCCATTTTTCCCAACAGACAAGTGCAGTGTGCATTAAAATAATTAAAAAATAGAAAATAGACTGTCTTGGACTACAAAATTCTGCACCTGGTTCAGACTTTTATTCTTCTTTAGTCCCTGCAAAGGGTTCAGGAGTACAGATTCAACATTTTCGCTTAGGCCCATCTCTAGCTGAAAGAGGCTTATTTCTAATGGACTTTGTGTGCTGTGCCCTATCATGTTTTGAAAATGGCCAGACGAAACCTTTGCAATTATTATCTATGCCTCAGTCACTCGTCTTTTCTGGGGCTCTCTTAGTGCATGGGTTTGTCTGCAGCCCCAGAATCATTAATGGCTTCACTTTTGGTCCATCTCAAGGCACACCTGGTGACAATATTGTTTTTCATTTGTGTAGCATACTTTAATTTTTGCTTTTGGAGCAGCTTGTCTTCTGCTAAAAACTATCCATGCTGCAGCAAAGATTTTTGCTATTTATTTTCTAGCTTTGGCTGGAATAAAATGTACAAGTACTTAAGCTGAAGCAGCTTAACGGAAAATAGGCTTCTATACCAGATCACAGTCCAGCACAGAAAATAGCTGTATTTTTCTTACTGAAGTGGTGCAGAGCAATAACCCCGGTTATTGTCTGCCCAACTGCATGTCAGCAACCAAGGCGCATCAAATGGCAGTCAAGGTACAAAGAAAGCCAATTTTGTGCAAAATCCTTCTGTAATCAAAGTACTTGTTTTAAGAACAAAGTTGTTTTTCAGAAAGAAACATAAAACATGCCCAGGATGTCTACGAACGGGCTAAGTTCCCACTTGGCTCATCTTTCGGATGCTGTGGACATGTGGAAATAATGATACTTTATGCCTAACCCTTTGCACCTGATGTCTAGGCCATTTATAAAGTGGATGGCTTTGAATATTGCCATGTTTTACGTGCAAGAAAGTGGAGGTGAAAAAGGGATTAACACAGGAACGCTCCAGGATCAAGCAGTGAGTTACTATTGGGAGTTAAACTCCACCCCTTGACTCCCAGCATCCTGTTCTAACCACTGGCCCATACTGCCTGTGTCAACCTGGTTAGGCTGCATCCCAAAAATCAGACATGGCAGCCTTTGTGGATAGAGTATACAAAAAGGTTGTAAGGTCTGGCATGAGGTGAGGTGTTACAGGCCCTTGAATGCTTGCAAGGAGAGACTGGGGGATGAAAGGATGAACTGGAAAAGATAAACTGGTTCAGAGAAAGCACGGGACTATGGATGGAACACGCAGAGCTGGAAAAAAGAAGAATTTCTCAGAGCAGCCAGGATCTGGGACCTTGTCGTTCTAATGAGAGATCACTTGGGCTGTTTCATTTAGTGACGGTCTGTCGTATTAATGTTGTTATCGCTTAACGAGTGCCCAGGAGCTCTAGGCACAGATTCCTCCCTGCCTCCATTGCATGGTTGTGAAATATTTGAATATTCTTATGAGCATCTAAGGTTAAACTTTTGGTTGTTGAATCTGCTTTTGGCAATAGATTTATAGTTTTACTTTATGTCCACAATATATTCTGCGGTGGCCAACAGGGTGGCACTCGGACCCACACCAGTGGCTTCGGTCACCTTATTTCTCACTACACTTGAGAGTGCAACAGTGGTTCCTGCCAAAACTGCCTCCAAGCCCTGGGCATTGGAACAACACGTGCAGTTCAGCAAACATCACACTAGTACCTCCCTGGGAGAAAGCAGGTTGAAAGATAGCAAGCCTGTGCATAAATCCACTGACTCCTTGCAAGGGTTTTTAATCATCTTCCTTGTAAGCTCTGCAAGTGACCATTGGGACATCACCCCTTACCCACAGGGTCTCTGCTGTATTTCTCTGTGCAAGGAATCATGAGCTTCATAAGTAGGGTGACCATATTATTTTTAAGGAACCCTGAGACACTGTCTGACACGGCCTGAGGTATTGCCTGGGCCGGCTCTGGCCACGGCCCCCGCCACGAGTGGCCAGGGGAGCGGGAAGCCGGGCAGACCCCAGCTAGGGTCCCCGTGCTGCGGGGGAGTGAGGGGAGTTTGATCCCCCTCCCTGCCCTCCTCTCGCCTGAGGCTGCTGCCCGAGCTGGCTCTGGCCATGCTCCCCACTGCATGAGTGGTTAGCAGGGGGGAAAGCCAGGCAGACCCGGGCTGGGGTCCCATGCGAGTAGAAGAGGGGAGGAAGGGGGTTTTAATCCCCCTTCCTCCCCCTGAGCCTGCTGCCCACCCTCCCTCCACTCCCGGGCCCCTCCACTCCAGCGGGGAAAAGTCTGGCAGGGGCTGCTTCGCCCCCTCCACGCAGACCGGGCTGCGCCAGCCGGGTTTCCCACCCCCACCCCCTTGTCAGCCAGCCCTCACTGCTCAGGCTAGGGAGCCAAGGGGCAGGGCCAACCCTGCTCTGCTTGAGCAGACAGCCCAGCCCAGCCCAGGGCTGCAAAGCATGCTGGGATGCTGGGGGACTTGGTTTAACTTGAACTAGGAAGGGGTCTAGCACAGAAGCTCCATAAACCGGTTTGTCCTTGTCACGGCGGGGTCCTTCAGGAGGGCCGTGATCTCCTTACAGCCCCCTCACCGTGCCAAGTCGGCCCAAGGGCACCCTCAAATTCTCGCCCGCCACGTCTTTGATGTTGAGGTAAAGTTGGTAGGCTGCCTTATGGCTCCCTGGGCACGGTTAGCTGGGACCTCTGTCCCTGTGTGTTCCCGGACCCCCTGGGGGCCCCCCGGTATGATGGGTGCTCCCCAGGCACCCTAGCCTTATGGGCTATGCATGGCTCCTACCAACCCCTAATACCACGCCCCAAGCCTTGCTGATGGGATAGATGCTGGTATGTCTCTCTATATACATATACTGCCCATCTCTCGGGCCTCCTCTACATACTCTCGCCCTCTCTTGGGCTCTTTGAGCCCACTCGGCCCCAGAAAAGGGGCAACAGTACAGGGAGGCCCCTTCTCTATAGTGTCGCCCCCTGTCTGGGGCCTTTACACTAGTGCCCCCTCCTGGGGCTCCCCCTGCAATGTTGCCTGAACTCGGGCTTCTAAAATACAGCCCCCCCGTCTGGGGCTCTCTGCACCCACTCTGGGGACTTCTTGGCAACGCCGCCTGATTCTCTGGCCCACTGCGCTGCTACCCCCTCTCACCGGGGCATCCGCAGCACTCTACCCTGCTCCGGGGTTTGTCGCAGCACTAGCCCTTCTTCAGAGGCTCACTGCGCCCACACTGGGCTTCCTAATAATATTGCCCCCTCTCTAGGGCTTGCTGTGCCCCTACTGGTCTTCCTAATAACACTGCCCCCTCTCTGGGGCTCGTCGTGCCCGTGCTGGGGCTTCTCAAAGCCGCCCCTCTCCGGGGCTGGGGTCTACGCACCCCGCAAGTTGCGCCCTCACTGGCGCCGGGGTTCCCATACCACTGGGGTTCCCCCGTAGAATACTGCGCCCTCACTGGCGCCAGGGTCCCATCCCCTGTGGGTCCCTATGAGGACACTGTGCCCTCCTCAGGCACTAGGGCCCCCCACCCCTCTGGGGGTCCCTATGAGGCCTCCTCCAACCCCTATAGCCTCACCCAAACCACTGGTGTAATACCAAAGCTGAACTTAAACTCGAGCCTCCTGGCTATAACTCAAACATAAAGCCTCCTGGCAGAACCATGGTGCTCAAACCTCTCCAAGCTGCCATCCTTCACCCAGCTAGAGCAGTTCCTATGATTCTCGCCTCCTAGCTCCTGCCCCTCCAGCTGCTGGCAGGGAACTGCCAGCCTGGCCTCAGCCCTGGGCTTTATAAGGGCCAGGCCCTGCCTCCTACAGGCAGCTGGCTCTCCTTAGTTGCCCCGGCAACCCGCAGGTGTGCTCGTTACCCTGGCAACCCTCAGCTGGGCTCGTTATGTCCTGCCAGGGCTCTCTCTCCCTCTCCCTGGCAGTTTCCACTCCCTAGGAGCAGAGCACTTAGGTGCCCTGCGACAGTCCTCAATCAGTTAAGTCTGATATGACATTCAACCAGGCTATCTTAAACCAGTTTCAGCCATTTTGAAACCGGTTTATGTGCATTGAACTTCTGTTCTGTTACAGGTTTCAGCCAGTTTCTGATCACTTAAACCAGTTTATGT